TAGATTAACTTAAACCTGATCAATGTATCAGAAACATATTTTTTTAAAGGTCAGTAATTAATTTTTCCACAAAAAAAAAACACAAAAAGTTAGGCCATTGTTACCCCATCTTACGGTGTAAGAAAAATTTAATAATGTTTTTAATTAAATTTTGTTAATTTTTAACTTTTAGACTACCTTGTTGAAAATATCCCAACTTCGTTAGTTAATGGAAAAATAATTGCGCTGATACCAAAACTTGATAAAGAGTATATGATTTCAATTGATATTTATCCTTATAAGTTTTCTTTTTCATGGCAAGATGTGATGAGTTTTGTTGTTGGAACTGATGATATTAATAGTCAAAATTGGTATAAAACTCATTTTATTTATTTTCATCAAGATGGAGATGGAAAACTTCATATTAAAATTCCATCTAAAAGCAAACCTTATAGAGTTTATAATACAAAACCTATTGCACTAAATCTATGGTCAAACATAGCAATACTTCAAACACTTAAAGACTCAAAATATACATTCACAATTAAATTGAATGACAAAGTTGTTTTAGTTGATGTTAACAGTTATTTTGAAAACTTTGGAAATGTCAGTATATATGCATCAGATCCAACAATGGATAATGCAGATTGTTTGATAAAAAATTTTTTTGTTATCAATTGTAAGTTTTTTTTTGTCTAATACAAAAAAAGAGTATATTTTCATTAAGCAGTATTTTATGTTTCTCAAAAGAAAATACCATTTCATAATAATTATCAGTTGTTGTTTTTTTCCCATAGATAGTGACATGCAACCTGTTGTTCTTCTTCCGACAGGTTTTTATTTTAATATTAAATTTTTTAATTTATCTTATATAAAACTATTGTTTATTATTTTTTAAAGTTATATCTTAATTTAAACGCGGTCTTGAACATCCTCAAGTAAGGGATTGTCCATAAATTACATAACGCAAAATTAAACTTATAGACAAAACACAAATGATTAAAATTTTTCCCTTGTTGTGTCCTTAATTAAATTAAGTATATAAACAACCTTTAAAGTACTGCAAAAATCGATGCACCTAAGAGCAAAATGATCTCCTACTTATATTTTTAAAATAAGTTTTGTGTTGCGTAATTTATAGAAAATCCCTAATCTAATGTCCATATCATAATATAAGAGCCAGACTTGAATTGCAAATTCTAGATGTGGCGGATTTATTAAATATAATGTTTGCACCACAAAGTTAAGCTGCAGAATTATTTTTGAGTTTTTTTTAAGATGGATTGGAATTCCAAATTATGTTGTTTAAAGAAACATTTATGTGTTGAATGTTTTTTTAAACAACCTAAATGCTTCACTTAACATTTATTAATTTTTTTAAGGTGAATATACCTAAGTATATGACCAGGCATTGCAATGTAAAAAAAAATTCTTTAAAAAAGTTTGTAGACAGCATAAAACATGAGTTGTTTAATCAATTACTTTACATATTTATGACAAAATGTTACTAACACTTAAATTTTTGTTTTTTAATTTTAATTTGACTTTTGTAAAATGTTTTTAAAATGTTTGGGTGGATGTTTTTAAAAATAATTGTTTCAGATTGTTATGCAAATGTAACATAATTATGTTGCATATTTGTTTGATATTTCTTACATTTACATCATTTGTTTTACTTCTGTAAAACAAATAATGTAAGATGAAATTTTGAGCTATGACAATTAAACTAGTAAATTAAAATAATAGTCTTTTGAAAAAGGTTGTAAATTAAATTAATAATTTAATGCTAGAATGCTTATTACTTTTTGTTTAGGTTATATCAATTATAAAAAAGAGTTTACTTTGACTCGAGGTTCATTGCTTGGAACTCTAAATGTTTTGATGAAAGTATACACTGTTTTTTTCAAAATAAATCCATTAAATTATACTAAAGGGTTAAAAAGTGTTCTTCATTTGACATTGGATAACGGTTTTGAATCTTATGGTGATAGAAATCCAGGTGTTTGGTTTCATGAAGATGGTTCTGGAAAGCTTGTTATTTTTGCTGCAGTGAGTGGTAACGCTTCATACTACATTGAAACTCCTCCTCTTAGTTTGGGCCAATGGTCTTCTGTTAAAATTTATCAAAGTATGCAAGATGGAAAGTATTGGTTTTCTGTTGATTTAAATGGAGTTAATATTCATAGAGTGGAAAATTTTGATGCTAAATATTTTAATAACATAATAGTTTATGCTTCAAATCCTTGGTGTAATGCTCAAAATGGTTCCATTGCAAATCTTTTGGTCATTAACGGAAACATTGGTAAAAATTTACAGATTCTTATTATTTTTAATATTTTTGTAAAGTTTTATGATAATTTGCATGTCTTAGTTGATTGACTGGGTTTTTGAATTTAAAAGAGTTCATTATTTTTTTAGTATCCTTTGCTATTGTAGTATAATTATTGCTAAATACTTTTTAAAAATATTTATTATTTTGAAGATAAGCCTTAATGGAGCAGAGGTATTATTTCCATTATTCAAATAACTTCTTATTATAGTTGCAAAATGTCACATAAAAAGTTTTTTAATTTGTTATCAATGTTAATTTAGATTCTGAGTAAATATAAGCTCTACCATTGTTGAAATGAAAATGCTAATTCACATACTCATTCACACCTTTTTTTTTTTTTACCTTTATTATGATAAAAAACTAAAAACTTAATGTTATTTTAGACTTAATTTAGAATTTTTTAAATAACTGTATAGGGTAGTGTTGAGTTATGTTGGTCTATGGGATAATCAGTTTTTTTAGACGAAAAGCTTTATATAGAAACTTTTTTGTTTTAGTGTTTTTAGTATTTCTTAGTGTATTTAGTGGTTTCTCTAAATTTTAACTATTACCTTGCTAAGCAATTTCTTAAGTAAATTCTAAGTTCAAAATGGCTCAAACCTTAAGACAAAGATTTTTTTTTTTATCAAAAAGCTTTAAATTTAAAAAAAAGTAAATATTTAAAATAGGCTCTAACTCGATGAAAAATCTAACCATATAAAAAATGCTTTATCTGGAAATAAGATTACTAGATAAATTAAGATCTATTAGTTTTAAGATTGAAAGATGCATAGTTTTATTTTGAAATATACAACATAGTCAGGTGGGGTAATGTGGGCTTATATGTTGATATGATGTTATATGATGTTATATGATGTTATATGATGTTATATGTTGATATGTATGTTATATGATGTTATATGATGTTATATGTTGATATGTATGTTATATGATGTTATATGTTGATATGTATGTTATATGATGTTATATGATGTTATATGTTGATATGTTGATGTTATTAAAAACCTAATACTTATACAGTAATTAACACTTTTAAATTGAAAACTATTATAAATAAAAATTCTAGATTTATTTTCCTGGAAGCATGTTGTTAAAAGCATTTAGATGATTGTTGAAAGTGTAATTATATTTTCCGTTAAAACTAGTAGAAAATTAATGGATAAAGTATATCACAGTAAATTTACCTATAAACTAAATCAGAACAACGAAATTACAATAATGTAGTAACTTTGTAATAATGTAGTTACTTGAATTGTTACTGCAGTAAAAATTCAATTTACTAGTAACTTGCAGTTACTTAATTATAAATTTACTTAACATACTCAAAGACTTGCATAAGTTAGCCATACAATTTTTATTAAAACAACGTTTTTACAGAACTAATAAATAAGATTTTATCAGATTTAAAACATGATGTAAGTGAGGAAGAAAGTTTTATTTAAATCATAAACATTTTGAATAGTTAATTTATTTTTATTTTTGGCTATTAAAATCTTTGTATTAGTTAGAGCCCTGTAAGCATAGCACATTTAATTTTTTTTTATAAAAGCGTTTTTACAAAACTAAAAAAAAAAACACTTTTGTAAAAGATGAATCTTTAATATATAAGAAAAAATCCTTTGGCTAGTTTTCAACTGAGCTTCTGCTTTAAATTCTTTCTTAAACAAAATTTCATAATGTTTAGAATTTTTATAAGTACTTCAATTTCAAATATGAATATGATATAATAAAAAAAAATGAATATTATATTTTCAATATGGAGAATTATAATGTGATTTTTTACTACTTTGAATGGGGAGGGGGAAGGAGTTCGCCCCTCCTTCCCCCTCCCCCCTTCAAAAAAAAAAGAAAAAAAAAGAGAAATATTACTTTAAAAAAAAAGAAATGTTAGCATTATTCAAAACAGTAATGGTAAACAACTTTTAATAACAATTAAGATACAGAACAGTAATCTTTTTCCTATGAACTTCAGATTTAAAAATTTTTCTTGATTCAATTTTTCTCGCATCAAGTTCCTCCATTAGTTTTACCGCATGTCCAGCAACTTGGTTAGATTTGGGAATATCAATTAATGACTCCTCTATTGATTGATGTGTCTTTTAAACACTTTTTGCATTTTATCTTGATGAGTGAGGTAAGTAACTCATTGAATGATGCTTCATTGGAGTGTTACAAAACATACCAAGCATTTGCTTATTCATAGCAAATGAAGTTTTAAGCTGGAGGAAAGACTTTGCACTACTCTGGTATCATAGGTTTCAGAATATGAAGATTCTGGTAATTTAGATTCATAGTTTTATGTCTTTGTGAAAGTTGCGATTGAGAAGAAGCTTGTGATTGAGCTTTTAATACTCAGATTCATATCTTTTTGTTTTTGTCATATAGAATTTTGTTTATATAATCAGACCATTGAGTTTATTTCTGATGTGTGAACTGGATAACAGTGGAAAGTCTAGAATATCCCTCCAGAGTAATTCTATATTCATAATTATAATTTTGATTTGATCTAGTCTCAGTTTCTTGTTATTAAACAGAAAAGTTAAGTTTCTGAGAATTTAATCATTTGTTGGCATGTGTGTGAGATTGATTAGCTTTTCAACAAATGGATCCTTGGATCCCTTTTTTTTGAAGAAGAGGCTAGATTCTTCATCCAAATACACATGTTTGAGTTAACACTGTTGCTGGAATTTCTATAAGACATTTTATTTTGGTTTAAAGGTGATTAAATGTCTTGTATTCCTTGTTTTTCCAAGTTCACACAGTATACCTGATCTCAAAACAAGTAATATAAAATTAGCAACCATGCCTTGTTTATAAACAAATATAAACATTAAATGCCTTGTTTATAAACAAATGTAAACAGTTGAAATCTGCTTATAAATAGTCTAGAACGTTATATAAAATTTCATTGTAAAATTGAAATCAGTAGTCAAACTGCGCAAGGTGTAAATAAAATAAAATGGTGGAGGAATTTTTAAAAAAATTAATATTGCTGTATACAATTTCTGTATTCAGTTGTTCTTCAAATGTAAATGGTGACAGTTTTGCTACAAAAAAAAATTATTGTTATTACCCTATTTTACATTCTTAGGAAAACAACTAACAGGCATTAAATGACTGAGAAAGGAGGGTAACTAATCCATGGAAAATGAATCTGCAGAAAGTTTTGTTGTTTTTTGTTGTTAAATTTAATGTAAATCCGCAATTATTATTATTATGAACTTTAAATAACATTTACAAATAATTTTTTTAAAAATAATTTTTTTTATTTTGTTTAGTCCTGAAACATAAAACCAAAAAAAAAAAAAAAAAATTCAACAAATATCAAAACTAAACTTTGCGTTTTTTAAAAATTGTTTAAATTACCTTAATGTCTCATTACTAGGAAAAAAAATTTTTTCACTGTTTTCTTAACTTTACCAAATGTCGAACATAATTTTAATTATGAAAAAACTATGATAAAAAAAAAAAAATAGGATGACCTATTTTTTTTTTTTTATCATAGTTTTTTCATAATTAAAATTAAAAAATTTTTTACCTTTTTTATAAATTTTTCAAGTTTTTTTAACTTTTTTATATGCCCAAACTAATTGAAATGATAAAAAAATATTATTCTTATTGACTCACCTTTATATAATTATAATATAAAGGTGAGATAATATTTTATATTGCTTCTAAAAATAATAAAACTTTTTTCTATATTTTTAGCCTAATATTGAAATCTGTTTAATTTAACTAAATCAGTAATGTAACAAAGCAGGTTATAAATTTTTAATTTCAAAATCATATTTATATAAATTTTATATAAATATGATTTCCATCATATTTATAAAGGTTATAAATATGATGAAAATCATATTTATATAAAATTTTATATTTAAAGTTTTTCTTTCTGATCTTCTCATTTTACTGAATACAAACAATGGCAACAAAAGTTTTGTATTTAAAAAAAAAAAAGGTAATAAAAAAATTGTTTTACATTATTTTAATACGGTTGAGATTAGACTAATTATCTTTATGTAACACGAACACCACCCTCATGACCACCACCACCAACTAGTCACCCTCGAATGAACACTAGAAAACATTAAGTTAAAATTATTTAATCTAAAACTCTAAATCTCTAGGAAAAAATTTATAAATATGAATCAAGTAATTATACTTTAACTAATGTGTGCTAAAACAATTTCTATCGCAAGCTGGCTATTGAAATATGGCAGATCAATGATGTGAAACAAAATTTAATAAGATATCCTAAACTTTTTAAGAGATAAGAATTATATCTATAAGTTAATCTAATAGGGTAAAAAGAAAGGTAAAAATAACAGATTGGAATTTAGAAAATTTTGAAGAATAAATAAAGAAACAATGAGCTTTTTAATTAATTTTGTTACTTAAGTTTATATGGTTCATAAAAGTTATTCTTTTCAAACTCTGTATATTTATTCAGTTTAATTTAATGTATAAAGTTTTATGCTTTATATTAAATTTTAAATTAGTTGGTTTATTGCATATATTGGTTTTATATTTAGTCTAATATAGTTTATACCTATTTAGTTCAGTTATTCGTTTTATAATTAGTTTATATTCGATTTAATTTAATTTAAAAAGCTTAGTGGAAATATTTGTTTTATGCTTACTTTTATATTTTTTTTGATTTTATATATATGTTTAGGTGGAATTATTAGTTAAGTTATTCTTTTTATATTTAGTTCATATTTAATTTAATTGTTAAAAATAGAATGAACATACAATTTATACTAAATACATTGACTGAGGGTATGAATTGGGGCAGGTATTATTTGTATAAAATTAGATTTTCACGTTTTATGATTTTATGTTATTATTCTAGTGTTTAGTTATAGTTTAGTCCTACTTTGTAATAATAATAAATTGTCCTATATTTGTAACTAGAACACTTGAGTCTAATCACTACAGTGGAACGATAGTTATAATAGCCTGAGTGAAAAAAGTTGGTGAATTGAGATCAGAGTGATAAACTTAGAGAAAGTTTTTAATTACATATAGCAGCAAAGGGATTTGGCTTGGCTGTTCAGTAAAACCAGACCCCATTTTATGAAGGAAGAGGGTGTGTGAGAGACAATAACTTGAAAATTACCATTAGTTTTGCCATTAGATATCATGTTTTTTTAAATTTATTTTTAATATAATGTATTATACTAAAAAATAATGACAATATTGATAAACAATCAAAATAAAAATAAGTAAAGTAATAAGTAAGTTAATAACTATTAATAACTTTTTCTTTGCGAATTCATTTATTCATTTAGTTGTAGTAGGTTTCAGCCAAGAAGTTGGTGCCAGTGCTCAATGATATTAAATAAATAAAAAATATTTTATGATAAGGGTGTAGAATGTATGCAGTAAAACTATTATTAAATAAAAACATTATTATTAAAAAAAGTTTAGAACATTAAAAAAATAACAAGATTACAAGTTAAATCTAAATTTTCTTTATTAGTTTATTTTTAATTCTTTTTTACTCTCAACAAAGTTCCAAGCAAGTTACAAAAAAAAAAGAATAGAGCTATAGAGCAAGGAAACAGTTGACAAAAGACTTGAAAAGTTTTAGACTGCATGAGTCAGGAAAACATGAAGGTAGGAGAGAAAGAGAGAAAAGGTTGAAGTGCAGGGAAAGAAAACTATACAAATAAAAGTTTTTAGGGCATGCAGGGACAAATACAGTAGATGAATGAGACATTACTGAATGACGAGTTAAGCAAGAATGAGTTATAGTTGAATGAACTAGAGATCATGATGTGTTTTTGTAGAAAAGAGAAAGAGATGCAACTTTACAACAATGTGAAAGAGAAAGAGATGCAACTTTACAACAATGTGAAAGAGAAAGAGATGCAACTTTACAACAATGTGAAAGAGAAAGAGATGCAACTTTACAACAATGCGAAAGAGGCTCAAGCTAAGCAGATAAAGCAAGTTCAACTACGTTGAATTTACAATAGGTTTTTTGGACCTTGTCTAAAAAAAAGGAAGAGCATCATTACAAGAACTAATATGATACAGTATTCCATACAAGGACAAATAAGTGGTTTGTAGAGGTAGAGAATGGAATCAGGAGTAAGGAAATTGCAAATTCGATAAAAAGAAGCAACCTTAGCAAACACTAATTTAGCAAACAATTGTATATACAATTTCCTTGAAAGGTTATTTGTAAACAATAATCCAAGAAGACCTAAATAGAAGGACTCAGTGAGAAGGTTGCTATTCATTAATATAAGAATTTTAACAGTATTGTTAGTTGTTTGTAGTAAATAACTGAGTTTTGTTGGAGTTAAAATTTACAAACTACTGCAAGCCCCAATTAATGTTACAGAAGTGAGATCATATTAATATTCAGCAAAAAGAACTACTTTAGATCTAAGGTTTTTAGGAAGATTATTAATATAGATAAGAAACAAAACAGGTCCAAAGATAAAACCTTGAGGTACCCCAGATGTTACTGGAAATGAACAAGAGTGTTAATCTTTGAGGATGATTATTGATTTTATTAAATGATTAGAAAAAAACAATTTGGTAATCTCAAACACTTTCCCAAAAACACAATTTGTAGCAAGTTTATTTGACTCAAGATGCAATGTAAGAAATTTGTTGATCAAAGCTTTGCTAATAACAGAATGAAAACAGATCGGACAATAATTGGAGAGGTCAGTATGTTCACCTGAGTTTTTGAAAATTAAAACAATAGATGCCATTTTTCATTTTGAGTCAAGCACTTATTAAATAGTTTAGAAATAATTCTAAGAGAGAGTTCTTGATGAGAGTTCTGCAGAACATTTTGTAAGACTAAGACAAGAATGTTGTCTGGAACACAAGCTGTAGAGAAGTTTAATTAAGCAATGCAAGCTGTTGTTTAACTAAACCTCCTCCTCCCCCATAACTTCTTATGTACTTTATTAAAGCTCCTTGATGATTTCAGAGTTTAAAAGTTCTACCACTTATTAAAAAAAAGGTCTTTTTCTTTATGTTTATTACAACATAAATAAATTATTAAAGTATTTTTATTAGCTTTTAAGAGGTTTTTTTACCTTTTTTATATAAAGGGCATGGTACTTACTGTACTGCTCAACCTATAATCCAGCTGTTTTGAATTAAGTATGCCGATATAAAGAATAATAGTATAAAAAAGAAAGATCATTACAAATAATGATTATTGTTGGGTTGTTAATAATGTCATTAAAAATATTGTTTGTGGTTTGTATAATAACTTGTAATCATTGATCATTTTTGTGATCAATGATTACAATTTATTATTATAGGAGTGGACTTTGATCTTTATATTGTAAACATTTTTTTTGAATATTTAGCATATGGTTTATCATTGGATACCACTTTAACAATAGCAATATTAAAATATATGTCAATATTAAAATCTGTTATGATGCCGATAATATCAAAATTTGATTTATTCACTGTTATTATTTTTGCTTATTTTTAAATAATATTATTGATTATTAACAGAATTAAAATAAAATAAAAGAAAAAATGTAAAAGAAAACAGGTTGCACAGGGTCGACTGCTGTTAATTTTTGAATAATTTAAAAAAATGTAAAAAATATTTTAAAAAAAAAATGTCACGGAGGGTCATCAAATTTTTCATGAGTTTTTTTTTATCAATAAAATTATTTTGGACATTTGATAATTATGAAAACAAAGAAAAAATGGTTTTCTTTCTAGTATTGAGACGTTTAGGTAGTTTAAAAGAATTTTAAAATACCTAAAAAACATTTTAAGAATAGGTTGCAGAGGGTTGTCATGTTTTTTACAATTTTTTTTTAATCATTAAAATTAGGTTGGGCATCAAATACAGTTTAAAAAAATGTGAAAAAATAGATTTTTTCCTAATAATGAGTCATTTAGGTAATTTTAAAAAATTAAAAAAAAAGAAAAAAAGTTAGTTGCAATGGGTTGTCATTGTTTTTTTGTTGAACTTTTTTTATTTTTTAGTTTTGTGTGCCATGACTGGACGAGAAAAAAAATTTATTTGTTAGCGTTACTTAATATTTAAATTTATTATTATAATTGCAAATTTACAATTATAATAAATGACAAAAATGACTTAACTTTCCACATTTTAGTATCATCCCTGAGAAAATGTTGCAGTGAATTTATCAGATATTTTTTTATTAGATAGATAAAATGATGTTATTTATTTTGTATTTCTAATTTGGTGTTTGAACATGTAAAGTTCTTTTGCACTTGAATCATCTTTTGAAGTACTATTATGTTGAATTTTTTAATCACATAATACATACTCAATGACCACAGTCTTTATTTTACTATATTATTATTACTCTATTTTACTGTATCTATGTTTCATCCAAAAAATAAAAATGTGACTTAAACCCACATTACCCCATTAAACTGGGTAATGTAGGTCTTTTGAAAACAAGTCAAATTGATGCTCCTTAGGCAACTTTAAAAATTATTTATAAGATTTTTGAATGTAGTTTACTAAAAATGATTTTAAGATTTTCTTCAAATAATAGATCGCCTCCTAATTTATGTAGTTATATATTTCTTGCCTAATATCAAAAATAGCTAAAAATAGGCTTAGATTACCCCACCTTACCATAAACTTATTTGCAGACATTGCTTTTTATAATTTAAAACAAGTAAAATCTTCTGAAAGGACAATCTTTTGCAAGCAAGTTAGTATTAACGGCTGTGACAGTTTCTTAGTGATGTTTATTTTATCAAAAAGTAGTTTCAAGTTAATTTTATTATCTGTATTTAAAGCACTTTGATTTTTAAATAAGGAAGACTTTAAAATGCTTTCGCATATTTAATAAAAAAGTAAAAACTTTTTTATCGTTTATTTTTTAGAGAACCTTATTGATGATGTTCCTACTTCATTTGTGAAAGGAAAAATTGTTGCTGAGATACCAAAGCTTGAAAAAGAGTTTTTGGTTTCATTTGATGTTAATCCTTATAGGTTTCTTCCTGACTGGCATAATGTAATTCATTTTACAACTGGTTATAATTATGGTCATTTTGGTGATCGAGTTCCTTCGATTTCATTTCATGAAAATGGTGCTGGAATTCTAGAAATTGTATCATCCATTAATGGTTACTATAATTGGAAAGTTAACACAAATCCAATTGAAAAAAACCAGTGGTCGAACATAGAAATTAGTCAAATTTTAGAAAGGTCTCTTTATATATATAAAATTAGAATAAATGGAGTAGTTTATTATTCTGTTACAAATAACCAATCTCAATCTTTTGATAATGTCAAAGTGTATGTTTCAAATCCATGGTATGATGCTCAAGATGGATCAATAAAAAATTTGTTTGTCATAAATGGCATTATATGTAAGTTTTTTTATTAAATTATTTTTTTAGAAGCATCATTAAATATGTAAGCTGATTTTACTTTGTCATATAATATATGCATATATGAATATATGTGCATATATGCATATATGAATATATATATATATGCTGTATTAGTTAGTAGTTTATAAAATTTAAAAATTTTATAAATTTTAATATACTAAATATAAAATTCATATATACTACTAAATAATAAAATCTAAAATATTAACTTTTTTTTCAATTTTCCGATAAATCTCAATTGAAAATAGTCACATTATGTTCAGCAAGCTGATCTACAGTAAGCTAGGTGTGTAAAAATTACATTGTAACTGGCAGCTTATTACCATTAAGACAAAGAAAATGTCAAAAAAAAAAAAAACCTCACAGAGAGATGATGATATCTGATGCAGGAGCGTATCAAATATCCCAAGAAGACAAGTGACTAATTAATGAATGATTTCTTTTTTTCTTATTCGATCCTTGTAGAGTCTTCAACGATGGCGGGCGTGTTTTTATAACAGAAAGATAAAGAGAAAAAAAAAAGAAATTTAAACAAAAATTTTAATAGCTAAACAACAAATCTAATCAGTAAATAAAGTAAGAAATTTTAAAAAGAAAAAAAATAAATTAACGAAAAAAGAAATAATAATAATTAAGTGCATATAAATTAAAAAAAATATCCAAATAAATCCAAATAAAAAGAAGAAGTCCAAATAAAAAGAAATAAGGAAAGAGTTTACGTCATATAAACTTTAAAAAGAATAGACAAAAAAAAAAATTCGAATTTTTATTCACCTAAATTTAACTAAAAGAAAAGATAAAAATTAAAAAAGAAAAGAAAAGGATAAGAAAAAGAAACCAACAAAAAAAGCGGAAGAGAAGAAAGAAAAGATCAAGTTTTAGAAGATATTTTTGTACCTAGTCTTTGTTGTAATTATCTTTTTTTTTATTTTATTTTAATTATGAAAAATAGTTAATGTTACCATTAATTATTTTTATTAAATATTATATTTGCTAAATATTATCATTTTGTGTATGCATTTCCTTTTGTAGTTTTTGTGTTTCTCTTTTCGTTTGCGTAAAGTTTGTTATTATTTGTGCTAATTATTTTTATTGTTGATTCCTGTTTTTCTATTTTACCAAATTTTCTACACCTTTTTTTTTTATTTTTTTTTATTTCGCAAAAAATACTATAAAGTTTGTTCTTATTTTTTAATTTTTTTTTTTTTTTTTGTAGAAGTGTTTGAGTTTGCCTTTTCATTTTGTTGTTATTGTGTTTCATCTTGTTGTTTTCGTGTTTTGCCTTTTCGTTTGTGTAAGGTTTGTTTTTTATTTGTTCTGTTTTGCTTATTATTTTTATTTTTGTTTGCTGTTGTTATTGAGTGTTTTCATATTTTTTTATCTTATTATTTAACTTATTGTTGTTTATCGTTATCGTTGTTTATCGTATTGCTTTATCGTTATTATTATAATTTATTTATTTTCTTAGCAATTTTTGGTTCATATTTATTATTTTTATAATTATTTTATTATTATACTAATTGTTATAATTAATTGGTGTCACTCAATTTAATTATGAATGAAATGTCATCATATTATTTATGTCATCATATTATATACTCATGGCATCATATTATTTGTATTATTATAGATAATATTATTATTGTTATAATTATTTGGTGTCACTCCTTTGATCAGGCTTCTGTTTGAGTGACACCTTCCTTTTCAAATAATTATTTATATTTATTCTTATTAGTTATATTTTATTATAATTATATTATTTGTATCATTATAGATAATATTATTATTTTTTAATTATTGTTATATTTATTTGGTGTCACTCCTATATATAAGTAAATTTTGAAAAAGGAAAATAAATATCTTGTTGTTGTTGTTGTTGTTGTTGTTGTTGTTGTTGTTGTTGTTGTTGTTGTTGTTGTTGTTGTTGTTGTTGTTGTTGTTGTTGTTGTTATTTAGCTACACATGACATTGATATTTTTTTGAGTACTGTGCAACAGAGGTTAATAGCTGCTTTGAAAAACGTCTCTTCTGGACAATTTAGCCCCTCTTCATTTAATTAAATTTCTCTTTGTTCTTTATTGTTCTACTTCTTTCCGAGAAGTAGAACAATATAGAAGTAGAACACTCATTTTGATGCTGTATCTGATCAAATTGAGCAAACCTTTTTTCTTTATTCCTCAGGCTTGTGTTGGTTACTTTAATGCTTATTGTACTAAATGGCTCTATTACTATTAGATCACTATGTCTTCGTGTAAACTTTTGTTAAATTTTAAGTTAAAATTATTTTATTGTTGTTGTTTTTTTGTGCAAAAAACCCTAATAACTAACCTTCAATTTTTAATTTAGTACTATTAGATCACTACATCTTGGTTTAAACTTTTGTTAAATTTAAAGTTAAAATTAGTTTATTGTTGTTTTTTTGTGTGCAAAATACCCTAATAACTAACCTTCAATCCTTGATTGTGCCTTGTCTCTGACCCTTATATTTAGTTTTTTAGTGTTTTCTTTTAGACTACTCAGATTAAATTCCTTTAGATTATTCAAATTATGCTATGATGTCATTTAAATTTTTATCTTGTATTATTTTTTCATCAGATTCAACCTATCATCACACTTCTTACTACCCTGAAAACTTTTTTTTTTTCTTGATATATTTTGTGAATATCTATTCATGCCTATAATCTCCTGGATTCAGGCAGGCATTAAAGATTCTATTTCTTCTTTTCTGTTTCAAATAAAGCCTTATTCTATTTTTTTTTTATCTTTTACACATCTCTCTCTGGAAAGAAAAATGCCCTTTTATTATTGCAAAATATTGGTGCAAAAAGGTTAGTGCTAAGGTCCATTTATCTCAGATTACTAAATCCTGTATTTAATTTTAAAAGTTAGGCTCTAGAGGCTTTTAAAAAATCTTTAGCTATGTTATTTTTATGACAAGTATAACATTTGACCTCTCATACCAAGGATAAGAAAAAACTATTTGCAAAGAACCTTTCCTTTAATTCAACTATACAATCCATTGAACTTAATTTTTCTGTTATTTCAAAATAATATGTTATTCCATTATTAGACATCCAAATTGATCCTGCTTTTGTTATTAAAATTACTTACCATTCATCTGCAGCTTGTAGTTTAGACAACATTCTTGCCAATAATTCCGGTTTTTCAATTTGTTTTTTGCTTTTACCTTTTTACAGCTTGTTGTCTGAAAAAGCTCTTGAAATCTTACAAAAGTGTTCTCCAGAAATCTCTTAATTATCCTATTGTTCTCCAGAAATTCCTCTGAACTTTTTAACAATTGCTTAATTGAATCTTGTTTTCTTGCATACTGGAAAATTTCATTTGTGGTTTTCATTATTAAAATCTCTGTAGATTCTTCAGATACTTCTACTGTTTAATCAGTCATCTTACAATTATTAGCAGAGTATTTTTAATCAATAAACTTCTAATACCTCATATTGTGTCCAATAACTTATGCTTTGACAAGCTAAACTGGTTTTGATTATTTTGTTTTACTGCTGCCTTGTTAATTGTTATATAGAAACTTTTTATTGTTTTTAAATGGAGGTGATATTACATAGACTCTTGATAATATCTGTCATGCTGGTCTTCTTTAAAAGTTTACCTAATATTGTGTATTTGGGAAAGTTTTTTAAATATAGAATCATTCTTTTTTGACTGGCATATTAAAGTTGTTCCTGATATACAACACTCGCTTTTATTTCAAATTATTTCTAGTGTACCACAAGTTTCCATCTATATTACCACAATTTTGTTATTAGTTAATGAATTTATTTATTAATGAAGCTGTGACTGTATTAATACAGCAAGTGTGTTTTGAATCAGTCATTTTCAACACCCATTCAAAAAAATGTTGCTTAAATTATTGTTCTTTAGTTGATAGTTAAGATTGCTTATGAACTCATTTAAGTTATGAGAATCGACTACTTTATCCAGTAGTTCATTCCATGCGGTTGCTGCTCAGTTAAGGATATAGTTTTGTCTGGAAGCACTTTTAGTAAATTTGGTTTTGTATCTAAAGTCTTGCCTGCGTGCCCTAATCTGATTATTTTGTATGGTTATTTGCTCTAAGAAGTTATATCCATGTAAGGTTAGACTTATATTTTCTATTTTATTGATGATTTTAAAAATTTGTACTTCTTAATCTTTGAGTTGAAAGTGTTATTAGATTTAAACTCATGAGTATTTCTTCATATGTCATCTTTTCAAGAGAGGGTATTAGCTTAGTTGCTTGACTCTGTACTCATTCTAATACAGATATATCTTCTTTATGGTAAGGTGACCATGCAGCGATACCGTATTCAAGATGTGGATGGATAAGCGTAGTGTAGAGAACTTTAAATATCTCTTTATCAATGTGACTAAAATTACGTTTTAGCATACCAAGAGCTCAATTAGCTTATGGCGGATTGCGTGTTGTTTCCACTTAAGATAAGCAGAAAAAACTGATACCTAGATCTTTCTCATACATAGAATTTTCTAAAGTTATTATATTGTCATTGTTCAAATCAGGTATGAAGTAATCATGCTTTGGATTGTTTTTCCCTATATGCATGTCATGACACTTTTTACTGTTAAACTTGATCAGCAATTTTTTTCACTATTCAAATGCTTTGATAAGATCATCTTGAAGAGCTGGTATAGAATTGTTGTTGTATATTTGATTGATGATTTTAGTATCATCTGCAAACAATTTAGATAATTTGGTTAATTTTTTTGGTAAGTCATTGATATAGATGACTAAAAGAAGTGGACCTAACACGGACCCTTGTTAATAATTTTTATATTGATGAATGACAACACTTTTACTGATTTCTCTGCTTTTTTGCTCAAACTATTGTTCACTATTGATATCTCATGAGTACCATATACATAATCCATCGCAAAGTTAGCATTTGCTAAGGATGCCTCTCTTTAATTTGTTCGCCATTTCACTTTTACTGTTTTTTATATTTAAAAAGATTTTAATCACCTTTTTCTTGTCTACATGTTTTTCTGACTTATAAAAATATCTCTTTTTTAAATTTACTTTCATCCTATTTAACTTATTTCTTTGTTGTTTTTTTTAACATCCAACTTTCTTAGTGGTTACAAGTAATTAAATGAGTAAAATAAGTAAATATAAAATTTACTATATAATGACATTTTTTTATAGTAATTAAAAATTTAATAATAAAATGGTTTAAAAAGTAATAAATACTTATAAGTTGGTTTAAAAAAATTTAATTTTTAACTCAAGTCTTTATGATATTACCAGTGAATTTTATATCAATAACTATCATTTTTTAAATGATATCTTAAATAATAACATTTTATTTTCTTTTATTAGATAGCAGCTTGAAACCTATTGTTATTCTTCCTGCAGGTACTTGAGTTTTAAAAATAGCATTTTGTTAAAATTTATATTTAATTTTTTTGGTAATTATTAATTATTATTAATTTATAAATGTCACTAATAAAGTTAAGTTTCTCAATTGTTATCTAATTATTGGTTGTTTTTTTTTGAGCATTACGTTTCTACAAAAACAAAATAAATTTTCATATTTCAGGTGATATCAAGAACTCCATTTTAAAATGGAGTTTAGGATATCAGGAATTTAAGTCCTCAAATTTTAATTTGGGTAGCAAATTGGCGCCTAAATAAGGTTGACATTGTTGAAAGTCTAGAATAGCCCCTGTCAAGTATATTTAATATCCTATATGTTGAGTCAATCATTACACATGATGAAAACTGTTGTTAACAAAAGACTTTCTTGATATTTAAACTACAGCATTTGAGTAGTTTAAGGAGATTTAAGAGACATGCTTTAGTTTATAAAAATATTTGTGGTTATTTGAAAACTGCAAGCAAACATTTTGTAATATAAGAAAATAAAGAAGCAGATGAATGTTTTGCAATATTAAGTATTAGGGTTTTATAATGTATTAATATAAAGTATTAAGTTTTAAAAGAAAAAAGGAAGGTTTATTAACTATAGGCAAGGTTTAAAAAGAAAGTCTTTTGTATTTCACTTCTTAGTGCAAGACAAAACAAGTTGTATACTGCTCTAATTGTTGAAAGAAAAAATGGATTGTAAAATCTGTTGAAAGAAAAAATGTAAAAATTTGCATGACAAACTTGCAAACAAGTTGTATACTGCTCTAATTGTTGAAAGAAAAAATGTTGTTATATAAGTTGTTCATGTAAATGTAAAAATCTGTTAAAAGAAAAAATGTAAAAATCTGTTGATTTGCATGATTTGTTAATAAAGATTTAAATAATTCCCAACAAAAGTTTATCAAAAATTAAAAATAACTTTTCCATTTACATGCAGATTGGCTTTATGCTATGATAGTTAGGCGAGGATATGCAACAAGAGGTGTAATAAATGTAGTTTGTTACAAGTTTAAGACTAATACATTTAGCAAAATCACTTTTTTTTTTTGTAATAAGCCACAGTATATTAGCACAGCTAAGTACATTTAAATGTTATTAATTGTCTTCAGATATGGAAAGACTTATGAAAGATATGAAAAAAAAAAAACAACTTAAAAAAGACATAGAATTTAACCTATATTGCTTTGGTTTTAATATTTATTTGTCATGTTTACTGTCATATTTGTCATGTTTACTGTCATATATTCACTTGTGAATAAGAGTTCAAAAATCTCCTGCTGGTCATCTAGTGTTTCAGACTCATGGATACATGAATCACAATATAAGATTTGCCTGCACTGATTTTATGCAGATTTACTGTTTATCCAACAAAAATTTTATTTTGTTTTTTTACAGTCATTTGCTGTCTTTTTCAAGTTCAATCAACAAAAGAAACAGGCTGGGTAACAATTATTTCATTGATTTCAGGAATTGACTTGTTCATAACATCATGCTGTCCTTTTCAGTGAATATGTCTGTGCCATCCTATATCCTATAATATCATAAAGGAAACCATAACTAAAATCTGAAATTTCATCGTCACTTACAAGCATAATATTAATGATATCTCAAGTTAATTTCAATTTTGCATCACTACCTTTTTTTTCACAATTTGTCAATTTAAAACACTATAATTGTTTTAAATTGACAAATTTAAAACAATTAAAAAATTAAAGAGTTTGTAGAATTTCCTCTTACAAGTTCTATGGACTCATAGATTCTCCTTGAAACCATCCAATTGTCAAAAGCAAATGTTGCTTCTTTGGCTGGTTTGGTGGTATGGTGGTCTCCAGAAATCTCTCCAATCCAGAAAAAATTTTTACCCTAATTTTTCTACTACTCTTATTTTATGATTTTCTTTGGTCCTTGGGCTGATTTTACTGCCAAAAACTGCACCTACTTTATGACTTTCTAGATTCAAGCAAGTATAGAAGCTTTTTTTTCTTCTTGTAATTCCAAGATAAACCTTATCTTATTTTCCTCTTCTTGTGATGCTGCTATTTTCAACTAGAACAACTCACAATTATCCATTTGGTCATTAAAAAAATTTGACTTGATTAGTGATAATTTCTTGCACCTGAATAATATGAAGTATATTAGAAAAAAAATATTTCAATTTTTTTAGTGTTTTTTTAAAATTACCATATTTGTATATTTTAAAGTTTTAAATTACCATATTTGTATATTTTTATTTTTTTTATTATTGTTTAATTACTAAGTAATTTATTTATAAAATTTAACTAACAATAAATAGTGAATAGTGTAGATTGTTGCTCATGAACGATATAAATAGTAAAAAAAAAGTAAAAATAAATAGTAAAGAACAATATAAACAAAAGGAGAATAGTAATAAAGTTTTTTTGGCTTTTTTTTTCATTGAGGGAACTTATATTGTGCATTTTTCATTGAGGAAACTTATATTGTGCATTTTTCATTGAGGGAACTAATATTGTGCATTTTTCCATTGAGGGAACTTTTATTGTGCATTTTTCATTGAGGGAACTTATATTGTGCATTTTTCCATTGAGGGAACTTTTATTGTGCATTTTTCATTGAGGGAACTTATATTGTGCATTTTTCCATTGAGGGAACTTTTATTGTGCATTTTTCATTGAGGGAACTTATATTGTGCATTTTTCATTGAGGGAACTTATATTGTGTATTTTTCATTGAGGGAACTTATATTGTGCATTTTTCCATTGAGGGAACTTTTATTGTGCATTTTTCATTGAGGGAACTAATATTGTGCTTTAATTACTAAGTAATTTATTTATAAAATTTAACTAACAATAAATAGTGAATAGTGTAGATTGTTGCTCATGAACGATATAAATAGTAAAAAAAAAGTAAAAATAAATAGTAAAGAACAATATAAACAAAAGGAGAATAGTAATAAAGTTTTTTTGGCTTTTTTTTTCATTGAGGGAACTTATATTGTGCATTTTTCATTGAGGAATCTTATATTGTGCATTTTTCATTGAGGGAACTAATATTGTGCATTTTTCCATTGAGGGAACTTTTATTGTGCATTTTTCATTGAGGGAACTTATATTGTGCATTTTTCCATTGAGGGAACTTTTATTGTGCATTTTTCATTGAGGGAACTTATATTGTGCATTTTTCCATTGAGGGAACTTTTATTGTGCATTTTTCATTGAGGGAACTTATATTGTGCATTTTTCATTGAGGGAACTTATATTGTGTATTTTTCATTGAGGGAACTTATATTGTGCATTTTTCCATTGAGGGAACTTTTATTGTGCATTTTTCATTGAGGGAACTTATATTGTGCATTTTTCATTGAGGGAACTTATATTGTGTATTTTTCATTGAGGGAACTTATATTGTGCATTTTTAGGATTTTTATTGTTATTTAATTATTAATTTGATCATAATTTTTTCAATGTTTTTCAAAATATGATTATAAACTAGATTTATAAACTAATTATCTATTCAGTGATTCAAACAAGCACTTTTTTAAGTTATTTTTTTTTATTTATTTTAGTCATTTTTAGGCTTTTTTTATAGTTTTAAATTACTCAGTAATTTACTATTTATTACTGTATAAATTGTAGTGGTTCAAACTAGCACTTTTTAAAATTATTGCTGTTTATTTTTAAATAAATTGTTGAAAAATTTACTGTTTATTAGTATATCAAAATTAGTTTACTAATAGTATATAAAGATTGTTATATTATTAATATTACAAAGATTACCAATATCCATATACTAAATAATCCATCTGTATATGATTTATTGAAATTATATCTGTTTCTATAATTTTTTTTTTTTTTTGCAAATTGAATAAAACTAAGTTTATATTAAACAAATTAAAAATATTTTGATTTCTGTGGCAAACTATCGATGTTACAAGAGTGCAGCTGACTTGTCCGGTTTATGGCATCAAATGTGGACTGACTACTCGCAAACTTCCAACTGTTAAGAAAGTCATGCAGCACAATTCTTTTGTTAAATTACAACTTTCTAGGACTACCAAGTTAAGCACAATAGTTTCTAGAGTTTCTGAAAATGTTATGAACATATGTTTGAAGTCTGGTATTCTAACTGTTACAATGCAATGAGTGCAGCAGAAAGTAGAATCTTTGCACAATATCAAAATGATACTTTAAAGAGTATAAATTGCTAAGGTGAAAAGCTTAGTTTAGTTTTGACATTGCAGATTGTCTTAATTTTAGTAATTGCACATGCCCGAGAATATCAAAAGTACCAGTAGTTGAACATAAGTTTTTAAAGAATCAATGAAAAAAAACGTTATTGGTCCTTTATATAAGGAAAGAACTTTTATATTAACCAAAGCATTTGAAAGAAGCACAAAGAGCAGATACTATGATTTTTTTTGTCTAGTAAAAACAGTCTGGAAGCATCAGTTAGTATCACTTCTGATATAGATGTAGAAATTAATTCTAGTGAAAATGAATTTATATATGACACTCAGAGCAATTTCGATGATGATCAGTTGTCAGATTTCTGTGAATTAGCTAGTCAATCTGGTAGAAGTATGATAAAGTTTCCAAGAGTTGCCAGAAAATGTGATGTGTTGTGTATCTGATGTTGCTTAAACTGCAATTACAACTGCCACACTTTCAGATTACGGAATTATAAGCATATAAGCATAATATCATAGACTTAACTAAGTTAAGGCATTAAAGACTTAGAACTACATTATCACACAAAGCAAAGTTAGCTATGTGTTCAGTAGGCTAAAATCAATTTTCTTTGATTGGAGAAAAGATAAAACTCTTTGTGCATTAGCAACTAGCAGTTAAGACTGAGGAACATATCACATTAATTGAAGAAACTCATTCCTTTTTTTCTTTTTCACATTTCTCCATCAAGATCATCATCAACAAATATCAAGAATGCTATTATAGATTTTTTTGATGATAATGTGTTAGCTATTGGTGCTGATGGAGCCAGCGTATACACGGGTGTGAACAATGGTGTAGTAAGATTGCTGGACTTGCATTTGGGATATCCAGTTCAATAGTAAATTTGTATGTTTCATTTTAATGAACTACCATTGAGAAATTTAGTATGGCACCACTTCAGGACCTACTGCATTTAGCAAATTATACCAGCAAAGATCAAAAGTATCTTTATAACAAGTGGAAGGCAATTGAAATAGGTGAGGTGTAAAAAAGCCTAGAAAAGCCTGCCCATTTGTTCATTCTTGATGAATGAACTAATGAAAGAGCAAATCGAATCCTTTATTTGTATGTTGCAAGTACTCCTCCATCTCTTGAGCTTACTTACTGATTAGATTCTTCAAGTTTATGATTAGATTCTTCAGTTTTATAAAAAACCAGTGTGGTTTTTTTATAAAACTAGAGCCTCAATGTTACATAGGGGCAAAGTACTTGCGGCGCCTAATTCAGTTATTTTGCTTTTTTTCTAAAAGTGATTGACTTAGTTGATAAATGCATTTAAAGAAATGCATATTATAGTCTTTCAGAAAATATTTTTATATCAGTGTTGATGGATGAACAAAAAGAATTAAGAGAATTAGCAGCTAGAAGAATTAAATTTATGAGGTGATCCTTACTTTCAAATTCTACAGAAACTTTGATGCAGTTGATTACTATAGTCTTGTAAATTAGGAGGAACTTCCAAGGACTCCACTACTCCAAGGACTCCACTACTCCAAGGACTCCACTACTCCAAGGACTTCACTACTTATGTTAAAAGAGTTAAGTGATGATTTCATTGAAAATATACAAAATATACAAAAATTGACTTTGGATGATTTTCCATGCCATTCTCATAATGTAGAAAGACATGTTCAATTGGTTACAAAAACAGCTGCAGCTGTATCTGGAGAAATGAGATGAGATAAATACATTAGAACAAAACTTTTATATAGAAAGTATAATCCACACTTTGCTTCACAAAATAATTGAAATATGTAGGAATAATTGATTAATAAACTTTTTTCTTCATAGAACTTTTTTTTTTTAGAACTTCTTTGAGTAAGTACAGTAAAAATTACATATAAAATGGCATTTAAAAGAATTTGTATTGTTTATAAGAAATATTCTATTGCTAACGTATTCGTGCATTCATAAGAAATTCTAGAGTTGTTATTCTATTATCCTCTGGTTCTAAGAGCTAATATAATTCTAGTGTTATTCTAGTGTTAACATAATCGTGCATAAATTTTTAAGTTTTAAAGCAATCTTGAAGACCTGAAAACAACAAAGTTATAGCATTTTTTGTAGAGCAGAAATTTTTACATATTGTATATTGTAATATCAAAAATGGCTTATTTTTAATTAGGCGACAGCAAAGGAAGGAAAAAATAATTTTAACTTTTTATTTTAATTTAATAATATTTAGATGTTTAGAGCAACATTATTTTACTATTCAAACTAATTTGAACAAAAAAAATGCAATGATGATTTACCCTAGTATCCATCTCTCATATATAGGGCTAATCTCCCGTTAATCAAGCAGAACTATTAGCAACAAAGTAACCATACCCAAGAAAAAAACATAACTATTTGCAAAGAACTTTCCCTCTAGTTCAACTTTTGAATTTAATGGCCACACTCTTCCTATCATCTTAAAGAAACATATTAAGCTACTGTTAGGTTTCCAAATAACTCTTGTTTTTAAAAATTTCACACTTAAACTCCTCTGCTGCAAAATATTTTTTGCAGTCTTACAAAAGTATTCTCCACAACTCTCCTCATTATTATCTAAACTCTACCTAATAAAATTTTGTTTTTTCTGTTTGTTGGATAATCACATCTGTGGTTTCAAGTTTTAAAATCTAAGGAGATTTTTCTGACCCCTCCAATTATTTTCCAACCAGTCTTTTTACTATTAAAAGTTTTCCTTAATTAACAAACTTCTAATGTCTTTCTACTACTAAAGATAAATGTAAAAAGAATAATTCCAATAAACTGTATTATTTAAGAGTTAATTTAAACTAAATATAAAACAAATAGTTGCACTATGGCATATAAATTAAATTAAATACAAACAAAAATGAATAGTTCTACACTGTAAAAATTTCTTTGTGAGGCTTAAGACTCTTCTTACACAGATTAAAAACTTTTAAAATTAAAAAAAATAAAAGCAAAAAAATATGCAAAAAGCAAACAAACGAACAAATGAAAAATATTCACACTTTGCATCAAATATTTTGTTTTTTTAAATGTAGAAAACTTCCTCATATTTAATAATATCATCTTTTGAAATTTGTAGAGTAACAAAATCTAGTGAACTTGATATCTAGAGAACTTGATATTATTCACTTCACCAAAAACAACAATGTCAATAAAAACCATTTAATATTAATAATAACAATTTTTAAATAATTAACACGAACATAAATTATTTCTAATAAAGTTATTTACTATATTAATACTTTTAAATATAAGATTTAGTGTTTTTTGTTTAGATTATATAAATGAGAGAAAAGAATTTACTTTGACTCAAGGTTCATTACTTGGAACGCTTTATGTTTTGCTAAAAGTGTACACAGTTTCTTTCAATGTGAAACCCATGAATTTTACTGTAGGCTTGAATAGTGTTGTTCATTTAACTTTGGGAAATGATTTTGGAGCTTATGGTGATAGAAATCCAGGTGTTTGGTTTCATAAAGATGGCTCTGGGAGTCTTGTGATTTGTGTAGCAATAAATGGTAATGCCTCATACTGTATTAAAACAACTCCTCTAACATTGGGTAAATGGTCTTCTGTTAAAATTTACCAAAGTATGCAAGGTGGAAAGTATTGGTTTTCTGTTGATTTAAATGGAATTAATATTCATAAAGTTGAAAATTCTGATTCTAGAGATTTCTACAATATGAAAGTGTATGCTTCAGATCCATGGTACAATGCTCAAAATGCTTCCATAAGTGAACTTTTAATTATTAATGGAAAAATTGGTATGAATTATATATAAATAAATAAATAAATATATTATATATATATATATATATATATATATATATATATATATATATATATATATATATGTAATAGTGTATATATATATATATATATATATATATATATATATATATGTATGTAATAGTGTGTATATATATATATATATATATATATATATATATATATATATATATATATATATATATATATATATATATATATATACACTATTACATACAACCATAGAGGTTGTCTGTCTGTCTGTGGACATTTGTTTTCAGAGGTAAACTCAATAGCTATGCTACATAAAAAAAAAGTAAAAAGTGAACTTTGTTTATAATCAATGTGAGAGATCTTAGCAAAAAAAATAAAAAATGAAAAAAATTATTTGTTGAAAGTTTATGGTTACTTTATTAAAAAAAATGTTTTTAAATTAAAAAAAAAAAATACACCATTGCAATTTATTTGACGCCAAATTAATGTGTATAACTTTTCAAATGATATTGCCAAAACCAAGTAATTTAGTTCATTAAAAGTTATAATTTTTAATGAAATAAATTATTTGATTTTGGCAATATCAATTATAGACAACATTAGATTTGAGCAGCTTAGGAAGTTGGTATTTATGTTAAAGCTGTTTTATAATCATATTAGTTGTGAATATAAATTCAATATTTACAATTTAAAAATATTTTTTAATAATTTTATAAATTTTAGTTTTATTGAAATTTAAGTATTATCTATTAAATGAAAGCCTAAAGTATCTTATGTAAGGATTGTCAATTTTAATTTGTAAATGAAATCAAATATAATTTAATTCTATTTACAAAACCTACTCAAATTTTTCTAAGATACTAGGTTAATGTTACATTCTTGGGTTCTTGATAGGGATGTACCGAAGCTTCAGCTTTAACCAAAGCCACAGTCGGTTTTTGCCGAATCATTGGCTTCGGCAAGTATTTTTAGCTTATTAAAGGTGCTTAAGTACTGTTATATTAAACATAAAATAATTTTTTTGGTTGCGATTATTTACTATAAATCTGCTGTTTGTAGTTTGCTCTTTTATTTTGATTTGTTGATGTATGCCGCAGCATACACAGTACGAATTGCAACGTGCTGCAAACTTTATATTCAATTATTTATTTGCCTGCTGATAGCAATCAATGGTTGCTTTATTATATATTTTTTAAGTTCTATGTTTTTTTATTTTCTTTTGTTCTATTTTCACTAAAACCTATTTTCACAGTAATTTGTATTTATTTTTTTTGCGCTTGAAATGTACGCTAGGAACCTATTACTTATCACCACTAAAAAATATGAATAATTAATGAGTTTATAACTCATTTTGCTTTGTTTTGAAATTAATCATTTAAAAATAGGTACAAAGGCAAAAATAGAATTTTTTTTTTTTTAATTGTTAAATCGACCTTACCAAAAACCAAACAAATACAAAAAAAAATCATAATTAGCGCATCTCGCGTAATTTGCGGTTGAGTGATGAAGATGTTGGTAAAGCAGTGTGCACACTTTGTAAAAAAACTTTGTCTTGAGGCAGTAAAGATGCACCTAAAATGTCAACAACAAATTTACAAAATCATCTTAAAAAAGTGTATCACAATGTACATATAATGATTCTTTCTGCAAATAAAACTGTTAATCGCCAAGGAAATTTTGAAAAAGATCTGTAAGGAAATTTTGTTCTAACAAAACAATATGTTCTGATTCGAAAAGTTGTTTTGAATCAGAGCAAATTAGTACCACCAGAATCACAAAAGAAACTCAGGAAAACTCAAATTCGATTACTAACTCTTTTGCTTCTATTCAAAGAACATCTAGACAGGTAAGTGAGGAACTTCTAAGTTAATGTAATTACTGTTTAGTAATTATAATTTATTACTCTGCACATTTAGTAAATTAAAATAATAATTAGTAATTAGTAGTTAAATAATTTGCCAACAAGTATAAAAACTTGATTGCATTGGCAAGTGTATAAAATGCTGCCGTTTTACACAAGTCTTAGTCAACTTGCGGACTTATTTATTCCCCTCAAGGCTTGACATTAATTAAAATTTGTTATATTTTCAGTAAATAATTGAATTAATTTTATTGTTTGAACTCCTTCAGGTTTCTCTTCAAGAAATTTTGTCAAAGAAAGAATTGTGGCAACATGGCAGCCGAAAGGCTCAATCTCTTACAAGGCTTATTGGCAAGATGATATGTTTAGATATGCAACCGTACAGTATTGTGGAGGATATAGGTTTTACCAGACTTTTAAATAACTTAGCTCTAGCATTTCTCAACCAAAGTTATTTCACTGATGTATGAAACAAAGTCAAAGTAAAGTATGAGTTAGATAAAGCAGATTTTGTCAGTTTAACTAGTGATGGTTGGACATGCCAGCACACAATTTAGTGATATTATAGTTTAACTGCAAAATTAACTGAGTATGAAATTAGACACTTTATCTTACAAGTTACACACTTCCCCGAGTCCCACACTGGGCATAATATTACCAAATTCCTTAATGAAGCGCTACAAACTTGGGAATTTCCTCATGATAAGATTCATGCTATTTTAACTGATAATGCAACCAATGCTATGAATGCAATTAAAGAATAGAATTTGGAGGATAAGCATCTGCCTTGTGTTATACATACTTTGTAACTTTGTATTCAGAAAAAAATCTTTAAAAAATAGGTGGCCGTAATGCTGTTTTCTGAGTATTGCAGGACATTTCCACCACTCATCCAGTGCTGTAGCAAAGCTGATGGAAATTCAAAGCCAACGAAAGTTACCAGAGCACAACATAATTCAAGATGTCTCCACAAGATGGAACTCAACATTATATGCTTGAGAGATTCTGTGAGCGGAAAAAGGCTATTGCATTATATTGCATTTCCAGAAATCAAACAAATTTTAAAAATCCTACAGATAATCGATGGCAACTTGCTGAAATGCTTGTATGCATACTGAAACACTTTGAAAGTGCTACAAATAATATAAGTGCAGAGACTGCGTGTACATCAGAGATCATACCATTTATTTATGCAATGGAAAAGTTTCTTGATTATGCTTGTGACAATGAAACTAGAATCAAAATTGTTGTTGATGAACTTAACACTGATTTTAAAAAGCATTTTCAAAAATACTAAGATAATACTCATCTGAAAATTGCAATGATGCTTGATCCCCGTTTTAAATTGAAGTTTGTTAAATAAACTGATCATAATATGTTTAAAAATATTTTATATCAAGAGTGCTACCGCTTTCATTCAGAGTATTATTTAGAACAAGCAAACGAAGTTGATGTTAAATCAGGAGGCATTGGATCAGGTTCAGAAAGAACATATAATTTATTTTCTGAGGTTCAGCTTCAAGAGTCTGATTCAGATCATGATGATCAAATCAAAAAAAAAATCAAAACTAAAGAATATGGACATATACAGCTTCTTTCGCCAAATGGATACAAATGAAAATGCTTTACAAAAGTGTGAAAACGCTGGATGGTAAAATAAGTATACTAGTACAAATCAAAGAGGAAAAACTCAAACTCTAAAAGGAAAATGGTATGAATAAAAAATATGTAAATAAAATTGTTATTTCATTTATTTATTTAATACAAGTTTAATTGATAATTGATTTTAATTTTGAAATCAATTAGTTTTCAAATTAGTTATTTTTTATCATCGCTGTTTTTTCTTTGTTGCAATCAACCCTGTTAACTAGAAATTTCTTTACAGTACAAACTTCAAAGTACAAACTAATGTATACTAAACATTCTTTATAATATAGTTTTAAAGTTTAGACTTAGTCAAGTTAACGAGAAGCCTGATTTGTAATTATTAATTACTAATTAGCTAGTCATTTTTTTTGCACTTTTGCATTTTAAATAAAAATATTCACGCAATTAATTAAATTATTTTTTATGTAAAAAAGTAGTGTAAACAAAAATAGATATGTTCACTTTATCAGTATAATTTTTTTTAAGAATCTGATTCTATACAGGAGGGGTTTAGAGCTGTTACTGCTGTTGAAATTAACTGGTGATGCCTAAAATATTTAATGTAGGACTCAACTTTTAAATTGTTATCATAAGTGCAAATAAATCTTTATATGCAAAAATTAAGCCCACAAAAAAGCATAAAACAGCTTTATAAGCAATATTTTTATATTTTTAGCACATTTCATTAAATAAATAGTCATTTTTTGTTTGTTTTTGTATGATGCAGACCCTTGATACAAAAAACTTTTTCATATATGGGTAAATTTTATTAAAAAGTTTCTTGTTTACAAGATAGTAAGTTTTTATTATGATATTACAGTACACTGACAAAGTAGGTTGAGTGCGTCCTAAAGTAGGTTGAGACATCTCCTAAAGTAAGTTCAGACACCTCCTAAAGTAAGTTGAGACACCTCCTAAAATGCCACAGCAAACACATTTCTACTGAGCTATATTTTATTCAATATAAAAACTTTAGTATAAACTTTAATTTAGATTTCAGCTTTAGCAATAAAAAAATGTTTTTTATGAAGATTTTTTTTTATTTATGTTTTTTGCACTGTTGAACTTAATTATGGAGATTTTTTAAATTAAACATGATATAATTTTAATAAATAAATTTATAAATGTTTGCATTTACAATAAATATTATCATTAATAGTAAATTAAATTTTAGAGTACCTTGTTGATAATATTCCAACCTTGTTAATGAAAGCAAAAAAAATTGCTGAGATACCAAAACTAGAGAAAGAATTCTTGATTTCATTTGATGTTATTCCTTATAAATTTGATCTTGGTTTGCATAATGTTATTCATTTTACTATTGATTCAGATAATGGTCGTTATGGAGATAGAGTGCCTTGCATTTCATTTCATGAAAATGGGTATCTTCAAATTGCTGCTTCAATTAATGGTTACAATAGTTGGTATTTTAATATAGATCCTATTGAATTAAATCAGTGGACAAACATTGAAGTGACTCAAGTTTTAAAAGACACATTTTACAAGTATACAATCAAAATAAACGGTGTTGTTTATTCTGTTTTTAACAATCAATCTCAAAGTTTTGATAATGTAAAGGTATATGCTTCTGATCCATGGTCCGAAGCTCAAAATGGTTCAATAAAAAACTTTTTTATTATAAATGGCATCTCAAGTAAGTTTATTTTAATAATTTAATAATGTTTTATGAAAATGAAACTTTTTTAGGTTTAAAAAGGTTAAAATTGTTTTAAACAACCTTTTAAACCTTAAAATTTTGAAATATTAAAATTAAAAAAAGATAAATTTAAATTAAGTTTAAAAATTGTTTTTAAACTTTTTAAAGGGTCAATGAATATTTTGAAAGTTATAAGGGTCAATGAATGTTTATTACTTAACATCTTAAAATAATATATAAAATATTAGCTGTAATCATAATATCAACATATTAACTGATACTTTTGTCATTATTATTTTTTATTAGTTTATATTATTATACTTTTTATAACTTTATTTTCATTTAATATTAGATCAATTTATATGTTATTAGTTCAACAATAAACCCAAAATGTCTGATTATTTATCTTGTATGTTAAAGTTGACAGAATATTGGTTGTCCCATTAAAAAATCAGTATATTTAAGTGCTTTTAACTCATTTTTTAATATTTTCTTTTTGTTTATTAATACTTATTATTCATTTATAATAATTTTTTTATTTTAGATACCAGTCTTCTACCTATTGTTAATTTTTCTGCAGGTATAAATTGAAATCAAAACATAAATTGTATAGAAATGTATTTCATACATTTCTATACAATTTATGTTTTGATTACTATTTGTATATTTTTATAGTTGAATGTTATTTGAATCCTCAAGAGGTATTAAAATAAGTTTGAATTACGAGAATTTTCAAATTACAGGACTTTAATTTTAGATATTAAACTCTGAGGGAACCTAAGATATTTTTTTCAATAATTCACTAACAACAAGGTTTAATAAATTAATTAGATTTTTAAATAATTGACTCCCAGGACTAATTAGGTTAAGAGTTTACAGAAAAAGAGTTTACAAGCAAAAAATTAGTTAAACAGAAGGAGAAGTATCTCAAATGATTTTAAGATGCAAAGAGAAATAACCCCCTGTCTAATTGCTTTTATCCAATGCATGACAAAACTTTTGTGTTCAACAAATCAACAATCCATCAAGAGAACAAACATAATGAAGTTATCAGAGAGTTTTTAAACTCAAGATGTTTCTTAATTTAATGTATAAAGACTTTGCTAATATTAGCAAGATGACTGTTTGATTGACAGTTTGCAAAAAATAGCAAGATGACTGTTTGATTGACAGTTTCTAATATAAGCATGATGACTGTTTGATTGACAGTTTCTAATATAAGCAAGATGACTGTTTGATTGACAGTTTCTAATATAAGCAAGATGACTGTTTGATTGACAGTTTCTAATATAAGCAAGATGACTGTTTGATTGACAGTTTCTAATATAAGCAAGATGACTGTTTGATTGACAGTTTCTAATATAAGCAAGATGACTGTTTGATTGACAGTTTCTAATATAAGCAAGATGACTGTTTGATTGACAGTTTCTAATATAAGCAAGATGACTGTTTGATTGACAGTTTGAGGGGTCAGAGCAATATCCAGAGTTTTAAAAGAAATAATGATGAATAAAATAATGAAAAATAATATCCAGAGTTTTAAAAGGTTAAAAGAAAAGAAACCACAGATTTCATTTTTCAGCAAACAGGTAAAAGAACTTTTATGTAAGACTTAGACAAAAATTATTTTCTTGACCGCAAACTGTTTAGAGTTTAACTTTAACAAAGAAAGCTGTAGTACTTTATATCTATATATATATAGTGATATTGGATCTAATCTAAAGGTAGATTAACCAGTTTCTTTAGGATGACAGGAAGAGTGTGGTCATTAGAGATGAATTCAAAGAAACATTCTTTGCATTTTGTTCTGGTTTATCCTTGAGAGAGGTAATAAGATCTATATGAGTATGTATGAGAGATGGTATTTATTACTTTTATTAATATGGTAAATACTTTCTAAACGTCTTTTGAAGTTAATTTCTTAAATAATAGACAAAATAAATTAATCTGTGTGTGATAAACCTTACTTCCAGATAATAGTTGCTGCATTGATCTCTTACAATAATAAAACAGCATTTGTTATCTAGAACAGGGTTGTCCAACGCGTGGCCCGCGGGCCACAAAGTGGCCCTCGTTGTCTTTTGCCATGGCCCGCGTTTTCAATTCTTAACTTATCAAAAACCATTCAAAACTTTTAACAAAATCAAGTGAATATTATATTTTTAAAACTATTTTTTCTGTAGCTCAGAATTAGGGCAGTTTTTTAATATAATTTTAAAAATCAGATTTTTTTTAAAATTGCAACACGGTTAAAACTACCGCCTTATTTTTTTTATAAAACCGGTCAAAACGGTATTGACTATTTGGTTAGCGGAACCCAATGATATATATTTAACATATAATATATATCATACTATATGTTAATATATATCATTGGCGGAACCATAGTTATATTGATTTTTTTTTAAATATGGCTTCTGCTTGTGCTAATAAAAGACGTAGAGCTGAAACTGAAAGTGGAAGAGGAGGTCGTATATTTAACCCATCTTGGAAAAATGAATTTTTTGTAATGGAGCAAAATAATTCAATTATGTGTCTCATTTGTTTTGAAAAAATTGCCGTGTGCAAAATGTATAATGTTAATAGACACTATACTACAAAACATGCAGCAACTTATGATAAATTCAAGAGCCAATTTCGTGTTGATAAGGTAGAACTGCTAAAGAAAAATTTTATCGGGCAACAATCAATAATGAAAAGTAAAGTAATTAGCTCATACAGTGCTACCAAAATAAGTTTTTTAATTGCAGAAAGTATTGCAAAAAGTGGTCAACCTTTTTCTAGTGGAGATTTAATAAAAAACTCTATAAAACAATTTTGTAATGAGGTATGCCCTGAAAAAATACAATTTGCTGAAGATCTCAGTCTTTCACACCAGACAATTGCAAGAAGGGTTGAAGATCTATCAAAGAATATTGAATTAGCATTGAAAGAAAAACTATGTAAGTGTGAAGCATATAGTCTGGCACTTGATGAATCAACAGATAGAAGTGATACGGCTCAGTTAGCTATTTTTATTAGATTTATAACAAGTAATTTTGAAATAATTGAAGAACTGTTGGATTTCAGGCACATGAAAGGCACTACTAAAGGGGAAGATATTCTTTCTGAAGTCAAAAAAACAATGATAAAGTTTGATTTGCCAGAAACAAAACTCTCTGGTGTCACTACAGATGGAGCAAGTTCAATGAAAGGAAAAAATATTGGATTTGTGGCATTATTTAAGAAATCCATTAATCACAACATTCTTTCATATCACTGTATTATACATCAGGAACAGTTATGTGCAAAAGTATTAGAAATGAAAGAAGTCATGGAAATTGTTATCCAAACTGTTAATTTTATAAGAAGTCGTGGCCTTAATCACAGACAGTTCAAACAATTGCTTGAGGATTGTGGAAGTGAGGCAGAAGATGTAATTTATTTCTGCCAAGTTAGATGGCTTAGTCGAGCTGCAACTTTGAAAAGATTTTGGATATTAATACCTGAAATAATAAAGTTTCTAAAAATTAAAGATAAAGACACAAGCTTTCTTGAAAATAATGACTGGCTGAATGATTTGGCATTTTTAGTTGACATTACACAGATGTTAATGGAATTAAATATCAAGTTGCAGGGTAAAGATCAACTTATTAGTAAATTATATGAAAATGTAGAAACATTTGTTTTGAAATTGAAACTTCTCAAACAACAATTAAGTCAAAAATCACTTATCCATTTTAAAACATTGTCAGAAAGAAATACCAACACAGTTGACTATGAAAAATATTGTAATCTTATTTTAAAAGTAATTGATGAATTTGACACAAGATTTTGTGATTTTAAAGAAGAAAAGAATGAGTTAGACTTATTTTCACATCCATTTTCCATTAAAGTTGAGACAGTAAGAGATGAATTTCAAATGGAATTAATAGAACTACAAAACAATAAAGATTTGAAAGATGCTTACAAAGATGTTGAATTGTTAGAACTTTATAAAAAATACATGAACATTGAAGTTTATCCACATTTGTGCAAACACGCTATGAAATACTTTTCCCTTTTTGGAAGCACATACATCTGTGAACAATTTTTTTCAAGAATGAAACATGTTAAATCAGAGCAGAGACATAGGTTGAAAGATGAACACCTCACTGATACACTTCGGATTTCATCGTCCACTATAAAAGCTGACATTGATCAATTGTGTAAAAATAAACAATGCCAAGTTTCCCATTAAATACATTTTTTTTGACAATATTGAAATTGAATTAGTTGTTTTAAATTAGAAGTTTAAACAAAATGATTTTTCTTAATTTGTGGCCCTCGTGTTGTCATCAAAATAAAATAATGGCCCAGGCTGTAAAAAGGTTGGACAACCCTGATCTAGAAGGAATAAAAGTATTCATGTTTGTCATTATCCAGGGATTTATAAAAGAGGCACTTAAAGAAACTCAAAAAAGAAATCAATTTAAAAGTAGTTGTAAGAAGTATGATGGGTGAATCTGATGTAGAAAAAGTACAAGGTAAAGGTTTAGTGAATTTATTGCTTGACCTGAACTACCTAAAGGGTAAAAATGAAATAAAAATCTTTGCAAATCAATTAAAGTCTTTGCAAATCAAAAGATTTACAATGATAACAATGTGGTCAACACAATGATAAGGTAAAACTGCGAAATTTAAATTAGTCTCACAAAAAACAAGAAATTTTAGTAAATTTTGCAAATTATAAGGTTCTATTAACAAAAATTTACTTTGAAGACCACAATTATTAGTTAAACACAATGAAATTCGGTACCCTTTAATTGTTAGTCAAAAACTACTTAACAAATTTTTCTAATTTTTTTGCACATGAAAGCTAATTGACCTGTGTTTCTAAGCCTGCTTTTAAGAAAAAGTCTTCTTACAATCTTCTTTCTTATCTTCTTGCAGTGTTTCTGGTAACATCTTTAAGATTATTGAATCCTTCTTTTCCAATTGTAGTATAAAAGTTGTCCTCAATGAACAGTATTTTTTTTCATATTCTGTAACTTCAGGAGTTCCTCAGATTCAATCCTTGATCCTATACTCTTTTTAATTTACATTAACAATCATTCAGATGTTCTCATATCTAAGGTGGCATTGTTGGCTGATGTTACTACCATTTATTCTTGTCACAATAAGAAGCCAACACCCTCTGGTTGCTTGGAGAGGGCATTTGAGCTTGAAAAGGATCTCACTTCTCTTACTTGTCTAGTTTTTTTCCTCAAACATCAGTTCTTTGGAATTCACTTCCTTCATCTTGCTTTCCTGATTCGTATAATTTGTAATCTTTCAAGTGGTCTGTTGTTAACTTACTCTACAATATTCATCTTTTCTCTTCCATTAACTTCCAAATCTAATAGAGGTTGCTTGCAGCCTTGTTGGAAGCAAAGATCTTAAAAAAAAATCATAAAAAGAAAAACTCCAATACAAATCATTAATGAAGAAATTAAAGCAATTTATGGTTCAAAAAAGCTATAAAACTTCTAAACTTAGTAAACTTTTGCATTATTAGCGATAAGATCTATTGCAAAAAAGACTTTACACAATTACCAGGCCAAAAATATTATTATCAGTTAA